AATGAATCTAAAGAACTCATATGCGTGTAAGAAAGAGCCTTATATCAGAGCGTGATTGTATATTGGGAAAACATTCCAGCCCAGGCCAGATCAAGTCCACAAGTCCGATATTAGCCCTTATGTCGGACATGAGTCTATCAATTCCTCTTCAGACTCATGCAGCACATGCAATGATGCCGAATGCAGGAAGCTGACAGGACAGTGGGTGAAAAGTCTTGTGGATCCAGTGGCAGTGGAAGCATCTCAGCACTGGCAGGGGTCTCCACATGGATCCTCAATAGGAAGATGAAGCAGACAGAGTGTGGCCCTCCTCCAGGGAGTGAGAGGAAGTTCCCAGAATCCTCGTGAGAAGGCCATGCCCACAGGAGACCTCATCAGCCTGTGATCTGATTGACAGGTTAGCCCCCACACGTTCACTCATGATATCCTCAAACTGACAGGAGATTATGTAACTACCACAAGTGGTTTTACCATCTACATATCTCAGATTGCTAATGAGCCTCCCTCCATTGCTGACCTGGCTCTGATGCGTATCATCCGGCTTTTCAGTTTCCTGAGTCGTCACAATTCTCGCGCAGTTTCACAGGCACTCCTCCCTCCGCCTGGATGGCTCCAATCCACCTGGCCTCCCGGAGGCCCTGCCTTAGAGACTTCCCTCCCTGCTTCGCCCCGTTGCCCTCCCTGCCACACCATGCCTGTGTGGCCTGCCTTTCCTCCCTTCCACATGGCCCTCAGAGCGCTCTGGAGAACAGCAGTGACCAAGCACTTTGCTCCTGATGTACCACTGGGCACGCCGTGAACATGAGATGCAATGACCCTGACACCAAGCCCTCTTCTTGTTAATGATGAGGCATTCAGTAAACTTTCCCCCACCTGGTTTTACAGGCATCTTGGCCTATAAGCCCACTCCTGGTGTTTGTGGATTGAATCAGGAAGAAGGGGAAGCATAAGGGGCTGGGTACAGGAGGAGGACAAGACAGGAAGGGTGGGCGGGAGGGGCTATGGAAGGAGAGGACGGGCTGGGGGCTGGTTAGACAAGTAACAGAGAAGGACCCCAGGGGGAGGCATGAGAATTACGCTCCACACACAGCTCCAAATGGTGCAGGGCGGCTGCTCCAAGGAGGGTTGGCGGCTACAGGAGCGGTTGAGCACCGTTGTCTGGGGATTGTTGAAAATGGGATTGATCCTCCATTGTCTGAGATGGTTTAGATGTAGCCTTGCCAAATGGGAGAGAAATTAATGAAATCATCACTCTACAGGTCTGTCTGCTTCCATGGGATTGTTTATTGCTGTGGGCACCTTAAATATTAATGTGTCCTGGGCGGCTATGATTTCCCAGACAGCTGTTGTACTTGCTGCAGACAAAATGAGAGGCTCAACAATGTCTGTTCACTGCAAACTAGTTAGAACCGAGTCTCCCAACTTCTGTGGCCATGTCAGCAGGGAGGATACTTAGATGAAATTTAAAATTTTAATGGAATAAATTATCTGAAAGGAAATACACAGCATAAACTGGGCTGTGGGATTCAGATGCTGAAGATTAAACCTGGCTTTGCATTTCAGATCATCAGTCAAGGGCAGCTGAGGAGCTTCTCCAGTCCATGTGTGGAAAGTCTGCCCACAGCCTTGTGGGTGAGGTGGGTAAAGCTAGTTTGCAGAATTCCTCTCTCCCAAAGACTGGTGGGGTGAAGAACGTTAGCAAAACTAAGTATTTCCCATCTTCAACAACAAAAATAAACTCTCAGAAGGTTGAATTGAAGCCGTGGGTGTCTCTGATGTGGTCCCTATGGATACTAGTCAGCAGGACCAGGACCAGTGTCCAGCCCCCACTATAAATGGTGACCACCCACCCTGGTAGTCAGCCCATTAAAAATGCTTTTTTTTTTTTTTAAATTGTGTTTCCAGTGAAGGTTTACACAGCAGATTAGGTTTTCATTAGACAATTTCTATGCAATTTATTCAGTGATATTAGTTACATTTTTATTTTCAATTCAAAGAAAGCAGAAAATAATACAATAAGGAACAAATTAAGACCAGGTTAAAAAGGAAAACAAATGGTAAGATGTTAAATTTTAACCTAATTACATCTGTAACAATTCACTTTCCAGTGCTTTCTGTCTGAGGGCAAGTCCAAGGGTATTCAGTGGAAGCTCATTCCACGTTGGGGCTCTGCAAATGGGTTTGGGCTCTCACTGTCATCCATAACCTTCTGCACACTTGGTGCTCAGAATCTAAGCTCACATACATTTTCCCTCCCCAGGTCTTAGAGTTTGTTATTTACAGTCCTAGGGTCCCAGGAAGCACAGACGGATGAGTTTCTTCTGTGTGGGCTTAACTGTCACCTCCCTTAGAAAGTTGCTTCTTTTAAGACCCTAGATGCCATTCTTTCTGGCAGCATCTGATTCTCCACTGCCCTTTGCTCACGTATCTTGATCTTCAGTGATCCCTTCGTGAGGGTGAGTATTGAGCAGGTGGCCCTGCCTCGTATACAAGATGGAGATCAACCTCCTTGTACCCACAAATTAGACACATGGTAGAGAAATGATGAATGGAAAGATTTGGAATTCTCCTCCAGAAACCCTGAGTCTGGAGAGGGCATCTGAGAGTTGGAGACCAATGCTGAAAACCTGAGGGGCATCTCATTGTCTCCACATGGGTTGGACTCGACAGGCAGGAAGCACCACACCCTGAGTTCAGACACACTCAGAGCCAGGGCTGGAGGGCCACAGTCCACTGAGGCCACAGTCCACTGAGGCCACTGTCCACTGAGGCCACAGGCCTGGGGTGTTCTGTCGTCACCCAGCAGGCGCCTCTGACCTGCAGCCCTACCCTAAGTTAAGGTGACCAGATTTTAACATTGCTAAAGCGGGACACCATTGACCGGGGATGGAGTGGGGTGTGGGGTGAAGGGTTCTTGATTAAAAATGTGGTCTATATGGAGCGACAAGAATTTTCATAGAACGCAAAAATAGTATTGTGATATATATATTTAAAATTTCAACATAAGTACAATTTACAAATATAATACTTTAGAAATTATGTATAGTATTATTTTATTCTTTGGCATATTTCTCATTTGAGTGAACTATTTTTAGTAGATTGTTGTCGTTGTTTAAAAGGTCATGAAATTTTCCACAAGAATTTGTTAAATTATATTTCACACATAAAATGGCTTTCAAAATCTCAACACTTAATTGTGAATTTTCTGATGTCTACACTCTATTTACTGTAGAAAAAACGTGTTCAGTCACAGCATTAGTTCCTGGTAAGGACAGTGTGTACTCCACAATTTTTAGTGCATTATTGTATGGAACATGGTTTATTTCAAAATGAAGTATTTCTAACCATCTGTTCTCTATTGTGATTTTTGCTGTTGCCCAAGATTTAACCTTTTCCTTATCAATATATATTTTAAATAATGATGCCTCATTAAAAAGATCATTTTCAGAAATATTGCTATATGGGAACTTTTAAGTAATGTGATCGAATGATTTTTTGCACATCATTCCAGTACTGTCTGCTAAATTCAAGAAAATTCATGTATTTATGAAAGAAATAAATTACTTACCTAAATTATCTGAATAGCTGATTTGTTGACATCACTTGTTTAACTAGCACTAGTATGCGGTATGATGTGTATCGTCTGAGAGACAGTTACAAAGTATTTTCATCATTGCCAATGCCAAAAATGCCATTGTTCATTAAGTCCAAACAATGGTGGTTGAATTCTAACAACTGATCAACAATGCGAACTTTGAAAATCAGTTCTCGATAATCAGTTCTCAAGAATTATTTGTTATTATTAAAGTTTAACATTATAAAAGTAACAAAAATAATATAAAACTCAAATCCTGGCGAAATAGCCACATGGCAGCCGAAAACCGTATATTCCTTTCCCGTTCTCCGGCCGTTCCCTAGCTTGTCGTGCATTCTTTCCAAAAATCGGGACTTTTTAAAAATGCTGCAGGACGCGGGACAAATTGTTAGCAATCGGGGCTGTCTGCCCAAAGCGGGACGTCTGGTCACCTTACCCTAGGCCCACCAGGAGCCACAGCTGTAAGGGGCCTCCAGCTACAGCCTTCTGCTGCACCAGTGCTGCCCAGGGGTCTTCAATGACCGTAACCCTCTTGGTTTAACGGGGTTGTCTGTCCACTCACGGCTCAGTTTTCCAAGACCAGTGACAAGCACAGCTGCAGCGCAGTGTTAAGTCAAAAGTAACGCAGTTTGGATTTTCATTTTATATTCTAATCCAGGTTTGGAGGCTAAGAGCTGTGAGAAAGTTAAAATGGGGGTTCATCTGGTGAGGCACTGTGAGGCACCCAGCTTCTTCAAAGACACTTGTAAGTCTGTACCATGTGACCCAGTCCCCAAGGGCTGGGGGTGGGGGTGGGGGTGTGCTCCTAGGCTCCAGGGTCCTAGAGAAGGTCAGTGGACACAGCCCTCCATCTGGAGAGTCCCTGTGGAAATGTGCCCTGGCTACTAAAATGCACTTACATTCAAAACACCGTTAGAGGACAAACAGCGTGTGCGGGCACTATCTCAAGAACTATGACGTCTAAGTGAGAGAGGAGAGAGAGAGAGATGGAGATGGAGATGCAGGGGAGGAGGAAGAAGAGGGGGAGGGGGGAGCAGGAGTGGGGAAGGAGGCGCTACAGGGCTGACAGAGAAATAAATGGTGACCCTCCTCTGATTCATTGGTTGGCTCTGGTTGGTGGCCTGGTCTCGCAAGAGGAAGGAAGGGTTGTACAGTACCTGAGCACCTCTGGTTGGGAAGGTGTGTGTGGCAGAAGGGCCCCACATCCCGTGGCACCCCGTGACACCTCGTGACACCCCAGTAGTCCTGGAGGAAGTCCTAGGGCCCTTGTGGCCAGCTGGACTCTTGGCCACACCCGCTGCCTCTGGGCTAATGCTTGCGTGGCCTTCTGAGAAACCACTGAGCCACAGCCATGGGCACTGGGCTATCTGCTCCACTCCCAGCCCCACACAGGCCCAGTACTTACTGTCCCCCTGGCAGAGCAGGGCCCCCAGTTGGTACGCGGCCTCGGAGCCTGGCCGGCCAGTGTCTGTGATCACAATCTGAGTCACCGGCAGGTGCTCCTTGTGGGACAGCAGCCCGCTGTCACTGGTCCTGGGGAGAAAACACAGCTGAGTTCGACAGAGTCCTGGCTTGGCCTCGTGGGCTTGCTCAGACGGCACCTCCTGAGACCGCCCAGAGAGCAGGGCCCTCTGGGCCAGCCAAGGCCATCTCCTCAGCCTGAAGAACCAGCACTGCCCTTGTAGACGCCTCGGGGTGAGTGTGAGCCCCCTGGGCGCCAGCCCATGCTCGGGAGGGAGAACTCCCCCCGCCCCGCCGTGTTGTGGCTCGGTTTTCCTGCACAGTGTCCTCCGTGGACATGCTGTAGAAGAGCGTGGTGTTCTTGCTTTGTCTCCTTATCCGGCCACTTCACTGTGGGGGTTCTCGGGATTCTCCTGGCCCCAGATGTCAGTCCCAGCCAGCACAGTGACAGCCCACAACGTCATCCCCGCCCCCACCAGCCCACTCCCCAGATGCCACAGCACTCGCTGCCCCACAAAAGAACTGATGTCCCTGGAGAATGTGCCAGGCCTGACCTGGGAGGCAGCTGGCCCTCCAGCTGCAGTCCCCTAGGAGGGTTTCCGAGGTCTAAACTCAGGGCTGCCTACATTCTAAAAAAATCTTCCTGTTTACGAATGGCGTAGGCTTCATTTGGATTTGTGATGTACAGACAGAAGAGAGTTCGGTGAGGACGTGTAACCCCTGAACCTGTGGGGATGGAGTAACCCCGGGCTTCCTCTCGCTCAGCCGCTGCCTGTACCCATCTCGATTGGATTAACAAAAAATACCCAAACTCACTGCCCCGAGTTGACAGCGGGAAAAACAAACCTGAGTTACCACGCAGAGAGACATTGCTTGGTTTTTTTTGGCAAAGGAAGCTCCCTTATTTAGGAAAAAAACAGGTGTCAAATATAAAGGAAAATATTAATGCAGTTATCATTTTCTTCCCATGTCAGAAAGCACATCTCTGAGAAAGGAACAAGTGGTAGAAAACTATGTAACATGGCACGCTACCTTGGAGACATGGAATTGCTTGCTGCGTTTAGCCTAATGGTCCAGAGCCCTCCCTGATTAAGCTTGCAGTTGCTCTGGATAGCTTAGAGGGTACAATGCAGATCGCCCACACCCACGGCGCGTGCTCTGGGGACAGCACGTGCAGTGGACAAGCTTGCCTATGGGGGACGCTGGGCTGGTGGCTGCAGAATTGCGCCCACTGTTCCCGTGGGTGTGGTGGCTGTGGGGGGGGGCGGCCAGACTGTGGGGCAACTCAGTGAGGAAACCTGAATGTCCAAGGACCCGTCTTGCAGGCATGGCGCTCTTGCCGCAGGCTTCCAGCACAAGAACTCTCAGATCTGTTTTAAAAGACTTCTAAGATTATGGAAGTCCGTATGGTTTTATTCAAAAGCATACAATCTTCCCCAGGCTCCTCCTTGTGGCTGTGTAGAGGGCTCTGTGATATGAAGTGTGGCCCAAGCCACTGTGGGAGCCGGGAGGGAGGAGAGGGCAGAGGTGGAGGGCCACCTCTGACACTGGGGACGGCTTGGTGGGAGAGGGTGCCTCAGGTTGTCCCTGGCCTCCACGAGCCCCTCAGGACCACCTGCAGCTTGGGCAAACCAACCGAGTGATTGTAACCTCCTTATCATCGTGCTGCGCTCAGACACAAATACATCACCAGGTAATTGTTTATCTTACTGTAAACATCTCAGGCCTTCAAAATGGCTCAAAGTACACAATAACGAACTCCAATGTGACAGTGTGAGAAGAAATGAAATGGAAGCAGTTACGGATGGCACGGTGCACACCAGACCGACAATTCGGAAGCATCTACGGACCATGAGGTTCAGGAGCATGAACCTAGCTGGGCCAGTGGACACATAAGTACCTATTTCTCTATGACAGCAACGCAGAATGGAAGCAAAAAGCAACATGACCAGGTTACGTTAGCATCAGAAACATAAACCCTCCAGGACAAAGCTAGCGGAGGTGTGCGGGATCTCCCCACTGACCTCACTCGTGTGTCAGAGCTGTACTGGACAACTCCGTGCGTGAACATGTCGACCCTTTACACTTCCTGAGAGGGCAAAGGCTACGCCTCCCCCAATCACAACGGCAGCAGGAGACAATGAAAGGATCCTAGCTATGGAAACGGTGGTGCTGCCCACAGAACCGACCAGCCCTCCACGGGAGGAAGATGAGGCTGTCCGCACTGCTAAGAGTTCAGTCCCTGGAACTCACAGGGGCAGGTCTGCCTTGTCTTAGAGGGTCACTGTGAGTGGACATAGGCCCGTTGGCAGGGAGTTTGGTTCTTTTTGGATCGTAGACCCGAAACTTAACTGGAGATGGAGGGACGGATGGCACACAGGGCAGACTCCAAGTGATGGGAATTGGGTTCTGACAAAACCAAGCTGATTAAATGGGAAGAGGTGGGAAGGGGCGAGGAAATGAATAAACTTACAAATGGGTATATAGGCAATCCGTGAGAGGTAAAGAAAAATTTAAATAACAAAAATGCTAAGGCACAGTAAGAGGTTGAATAAGGAGACAAGGGATAACGTATTTAAAAAGCATTCACTGTAAAGGTAACTCAAAGAACAAAAGGCACATGTTGTTGAGCACCAAAGCAATCCCCAAAGCTAAGACAAGATGAAAGAAATGCCCGCAATGAAAGTCCCTGCCTTCCGTCCACACCGACTCACAGGGACCCCACAGGACAAGGCCAAGCTGCCCCTGTGCGTGTCCAAGGCTGTCACTCTGCCTCATCTGTTGCCCACAGAGCGGCTGCTGGTTTAGAACTGCTGACCTTGTGGCTAGTAGCCCAACGTGCACCCCACCGCGCCATTAAAGAGCCAGAAAATGCAACAGTTCTCATGCCCGTGACATAAAATAAGACGGCAGAGTTGAGCCAAACCCATGAGCGTTGCCGGCAGGTGGCAGTGAGCTGGAAAGTGAGCACCAGGAGCCCTGCACGACTCCGAGGAGCTGGTGCGAGTGCTGGCATTACCGCGGAAAGCAAGTCCATAGCAGGGCAGATCCAGAGGCGCTGTCCAAGCTAATGTGGTGGATTCTGGAACAGCCGCAGCAAAGCTCAGCGCCGCCAAACAGAACACCCAGCGGAGCAGCAGCGTTTGGAGGGCGGGAGAGGAGCACACACACACATACTTCAGGAGGATTTAACCCGGGAGGGAGACGGTAAGTCAGTGGGGATACCGATCATCTTAGAAACATCATCTCTGAGAGAGACTCCCAGGGGCCGGCAATGCCTGCACTTGACTATCTGCCAAAAAGTGACGGCCAGACTCAGTCAGATCATCTCGTAGGACCAGACTCAGAAACCCCGAACTCACTGCTGCTCCATCCAGTCCATCCGGAGCCTCCCGTAGGGCAGAGTAGAACTGCCCCTGTTGGTTTTCAAGACCAGCTCTTTAGAGGAGTAGAAAGCCCTGCCTTTCTCCTGCAGAGCAGCTGGCGGCTCCAACGTGCTGGGCTTGTGTGGTTTGCAGGCTAATGTGCAACCCACTGCATAACCCCGCTCCTCCACAGGGCAGACTCGCCCATCCGCTCCGCAAGGCCCGGGGCAGCTGTGCTCGGCACACAGGGCCACCAGGGGTTAGGCAGACACAGTGGCCACCAGCAGCTGCAGTTACACCTCAAATACAAAGACAGGCTCCTCTCAAGCCCATCTGGACGGTTCATAAAACCTGGGCCATGTGGCATACAACCAAACGTAACAATGAGAAACACTGTAAATAACACACTCAAAAATACAATACAACAAAAACACATGATTAGCATTGCAACCCGCCCCCCCGCCCCCTGGAAATTTAAGAGCTCTTGATAAAGAAATGTGAAGTCAGAGGGATGTAGACACTGGAATGCCGACTCACCAACCCTCAGCCGCTGCTTCAGACTCATTGTGCTGTGGACAGCATGTGCAGGATATTTAATGCATCTAAAGCCGCGATCAGAGGAAAATCCAAACCCTTAAATACGGGCATCGATAAAAATGAAGGGATGACTTTAAAGAGGTTAAATTCTTACCTCAAAAGCTGACACAAGAGCAGCAAAACAAAGAGGGGGAAATAACAGGTGAAAGTAACGAGCACAATAACAACAACAGTAATTTAATTAGCACATCCAAGAACTTTATTTTTAAAATATACATGATTTAGATAAATAGAAGGAAAAACCTCAACCATTCAACCCAGACAAGGGAAGAAAGCGCATGCTCAAGTTCGACGGGGGAGATGACATTTCGTGGTGAGCGGTGGTCAGGAAACAAAGCAGAAAGTGCGCTCTGGGCACACTGCACACCGCTGACCCAAGATGGCTGCACAGAGAGTCCCGACAAACATGCAAAGACCCCAAGTCTTGGTGCTGATGGGGGGAGAGGGGCAGGCTCATCGCCTCTAGTGCCTGGGTGCCTTCCTGGGGCACAGCACTCCATTTATGTCTGACTCCGTTTATTTCTATATTTCTCTTCTATCTCTCATGCTCTCTATAACTTTACTATAACATTTACTTATTATCGTGTACAATTGTGCCTACCGAACCCGCAATGATTGTGCTAGGAGCTGCCTTCTTCCGGGGTGAGAGAGACAACCTGACCTCCATAAAGGCACACAAAGAAGCCCCATTTCTGAGCGCTGAGGGCAAGCCTGCTGAGCAAACTGTGAACCATAAATCTGCCACCACGGCGCATGTGCTGCAGCCAGACCAAGCAGACCCCTACCAGGACACCCGCTCACACAACAGGTTCATGTAGTAGACCAGGTTAAGAGAAGTAAGATGAACACCCTTTGATTCATTTCCATAAGTGCTCGAAGGAACTTCTGGGAACACCCACTCCTAGCAAAGCACCCAGGAAGGTAAGAATGGGGGTGCTTTCTAAACATGACCACACAGGTGAATGCTCTTCTCATATGGCATATCCTATACCTGTGTGTCTGAGTCTCTGATACGTGTTTCTACCCCATGCACAATCTTAGTCCCACAGCCAGTACCCTCTGAGTTGGGGCCATGAGATCACCCAGCAAGCATGCCCGCAATTACCACCA